GTTTTCAGCAGAATCGCGCACGTGTGGGGCCGGAGCTGCGGCGCTGGCGTTAGTGATGCCTGAAGCCCAAATCAACAGGTCGTCAGCGAGCGACAGGTGGCCAGGTCTGCTGCCTGCTGCACGGTCTTATTCGGGATAGCTTGCGCCGTAAAGGCAGCGGCTTTCAGCTCTAATTAGATCCGCCTCATCAAGAGCATGCGTTACTACTTACCGAGAGAGTACCGCCGGCGCTGTTTTTTTCAGTGTTAGACAAAACACGCGGGGCGATGCGATGGGTAATGCTAGCCGCCACCTGTATTTAGCCGCGTGTTGTTGGCGGGTTGTTAGCACGGGCGTGATTGGCACTTACTCGCCAGTTGTCATGTGCCACAGGCAGCGCTTAGCACACTTTCTTCTGCCATTAGAAAGACGCGGGTTGCTTCGGCAGCCGGCGTCTATAGTGATGACGAACAATTGCGATGAGAAAGAGGTTTCGCGAATGCAGTGCGTGCGTGCGTGCGTGCGTGGATGCTCGCCGATTCCGATTTTTGTGTTTATTTATAAGTACTTAGGCGGACATTAGACAGATGCGGACAGATGCGGACTGTTAGACAGATAGTCAGACAGACTGCAATAAATATATAGATTTTTTACTTAATACTTAATTTGAAACAGATCATGCTATACTTGCATTGATCTTAATTCCACTACAATGATGTAAGTTAATTTATACATTGCTGCATATTTGCACGACCGTTTAAACATTTATGCAAAACGGTATCGATTCTGCTGTCACCGCAAGTTAATAATTATTATTAAGCTCTATAATCATATGCTTCGTCGTTGCGATGGGAAATGCATGCACACGCGATTTCTTTCATCATGCAGTGATCGCGAGTGAATAGGGAGGGATATGTGGTAATCCGATACGATCGCCACGCGTATTTGTAGGAAACCACGCACTCGCCAGTCGCATTCACGCTGTCAGAAATATGGAGCGTATTTTCGCGTTGTTTTCGCTCACAGTTACAATACTTTCAGACTTATCTCTAAGAAACGGTCGTGGCATACGTCGAGGTCTGCGTATTAATGGTTGTCTCGCTTTTTCAGTATATTAGCATATTATATTCAGACTATTTAGTCTCGCTATTCTATGGTCGGGCTATTTCAGTCTATCGCCCGGCCATAGCGAATGGAGTGAATCTAACATTTGCACACGCGCGTGCGTGAGTTCATTATATGGGACTACGTGTTAATATTAAGCGCTTATTTGCTCTTTTTGATGTCGTCCCCGATGTGCAGAGACGCGCTGCGTAATTGTTCTTGCGTAATTTGAGTTTTACCAGATTTGTTGCCTCATAACTCACATTTCCCTGCGACTGCGAAGGTTGCATACTTTCATAATATATCTGTGAAATAGGATCAGTTTATACCTTTTTCGTGTCGTATTTCCTAAACAATCGCAATGTTACATGCATTTCAGAATATCAGTGCAGACGAACACCTTTGCGTATGACGTTCAAAGAAACCATACCACATTTGTATCCTATTTTCCTCTTTATGACGGCACATACATGCATGAAACACACACATACAATCGCAATACACTCACATGCGCAATATACGTACAAGGACGGTATTCAGTGGTATAGAAATATAATTCAGTATTAAAAGAACCATATTTGTCTGGTTTTTGGTTTAAACAAGATACCGTGATAAGAATATATCTACAATGGAAAGTTTTTAAGTTATTGTATTTAATTTTTGTAGGCAATTGCAATGCGTAATATAGGGGGTTGTATATGTAGCCGTTGTTGAGTTCGAGTTGTATCAAGAACGCTATCTGCTTTGTTCGATTTTGCCTTAGGACAAGCTTTAGTGGCACTTATCGGCCACCGTTTATAGATTTCTCAGAGCTAGTCGATCGAGTCATTTTCAGTGGTCCGTGGGACACGCGCACACGACAATTTGCGTTGGCGCATCTCGCTGCATATTTTTCTGAATGTTGGCTCGCGGGAAAACCTCTCTTGACTGTTGTTCTTAGCTAATTATTCGCGGAGGCTGGCCAACGCAGCCCCGTGCGCGATAGTAATTACGGGATAGACCCCGCGGCTCGTTCTTCTGCGACGCGGGACGATAGTGCGCTCAGACGCACAAACGAAGAAAATTTTCAAAGTCACAATTCCCCTGTGCTTTCTCATAGATATGTATATTTTCATCAAAATTACCCGAATTTTTTTCCTCTTGCGAAAGACGTGACGGGGAAACGCGGTCAATGTATTGATGCGTATCGGCCGCTGTAGAGGCATTATCGGGTAGTTATACATTGGCTAACCGGCGTAGTCGGTCTGCGGGTAGCCTCCAATGACGGTATAGATTGTTACAGATGCAAGGCCTCAATAAATGGATCGTTCTCACACGTTCCAGAGTGTATGCGTTATCATCTACTGCCAAGTAGCGCATTCTTAAAAGAAAGTGTCGTGCCGTCGCCTGTAAATTATAAGTCAAGATAGCATTGGACTATGAAACAGACAAAAGGAATTCCAGATGGGGCAATAAGAATAAAAGCGGTGGAAAAATGATAAGGATGCAGTATCGGCGGAGCATGTGGAACGATAGTAAAATTGAATGAGAATAGTTTTATATGGAATATAATATATATACATCATATAAAACTAGCAACTTTCTTTCTCGCCCCCTCATTCTCCCCCTTTTCCATTCTCTGTTTGGATGGATGGCAGACGGGCAGGCGGCCGGGCAGATGGACGGACGGACGGACAGACAGATGGACGGACGGACGGACATACAGACAGACAGACAGACAGACGGACGGACGGACAGACAGACAGACAGACAGACAGACAGACAGACAGACTGGCAGACGGACAGACAGACATCACAATGAATTCATTCAAGCAATGTAGCTTAATTGTTGTGAGATTTCTTCCGTGTTTTACTTTATAACTGTGATTGTTTTAGTCTTAGTCTACATATAAATGTTTCACTCTGTGTCGCCGAGGGGTTCTCTTCATGTGTGGACCGACTATAGTGTCTATGAGTTATCACGCTACTCTTGCACCGATACCTATTATATATGCAGAGCCACGCCGTACGGTTTCCTAACCTTGCCCAAACAATAGCAAGCCGCTCTCATAGGATTATAATGTTACAAAGTGTTCGTTTCATGAACCGTTATTTTTAATCGTTGTGCATATATTATAATAGTTTCATGATATTAATAATGCATGCGTGCTGCTCCGCTGAATGAATCTGCTTCAATCAATTTCAATGATTCGATCTCGTGCGATGTGCCGTTCGTTTCGTTTACCACAGATGATTATTTTTGCTTTTACTGCGGCAGTCTGTCTTAAATATTTTTGCAGAACACGGGAATCAGGTTGAAGTGGTAGGTCTCATATTCTGGGTATTTACCCTAACCCTAACCATAACACTACATTGCCTTGATTCTTTTCCACGACAAGGTTGGGTGTATTTTTTTTGTTCGTTTAACTGCGGATTTAACAGGAGACTGTCTTCTTTCAACAGGCGGGTGGTCGTCTTGATTTATTACTGGTGATCTCTCCCTCGTAACTGAATCTCCGTCTTCTATCTTGGGAATCATCTGATGAGAGATGTCCTAGAGTTCTGAATTTATCACTACTAGGATAGGCATTAACTGAGAATTTACGGCTTCAAATTGGTGTGAACAATAGTAACGCGTCCCCACGGGAATGACATCTTTGGATAGGAGACCATTTCATTTTCAGTGGCGGCCGTAAGAAAAGGTTGGACGCTTTTTAAATGTAAACCACGTAGAAAGCAGTTGAAGCGTCGAGGATCGGGGATCCAGTAGATCGTTAGTCATCCCCAGCAGAGACGAAAGCACTTGCGTAACCGTATCTAGTTGTCAGGCTACCACGCCAGGGCCCTGGAACGGGTTTAGCGCGGTTAAGTACTGCCGCGTGTATCTCTAATTATCCGCTTCTTATAACGCATCTCAGCTGAGCTGCTGTCAATTTCTTCGCTCCTGGATTCAATTTTATCACAATGAATGGTACGACCGTGCAAAATACTGAATTATTAAAGTTTGGAAAACATTTTCGTTTTTACACAAGTAATGAATTTTTAAATGCGTTTTATCGTTCGTTTTGATAAAATATAAGATCTGATTATGTTCTGGCAGCTTTGTTATGCAGTTTGAGTGAAGGAATGAAATGTGAATGTAATCATTTATCTATAAACACCTGCGTGTACGAGCAGGGAAGTTGACAACGTGTTTACTATTGTGATACCTTTCTTACATCGGTTGTCAAAAAAATGCGGGCGTTAGGATGAACGCACTCAAACAATTTCATGCTAGTGGTCTGCCAGAATTAATGTTGTTTGCCATTTCTACAATCATTTGGGGTGACCATTTAGATTTCTCAGTTTTGTAGTTTGGAATGTAAATATTTTTACGTGAAATTTGTCGTAATACTTCACAGTGCCTCCGTATACGTACGTACGCGCGTGCGTGCGTGCGCATGTGTATGCGCGTGCCTGCGTGTGCCATGTGACCCGTAAACGATTTGTTTGAGGTTTGCATGCGCCGCATTATAAGGCTCTTTGAACGCAGCTAGTAAACACGTTTATGTGACAATTTCTGGCAAACCAAACACAATTCCACGTGTAATCCAGCAGAATATTGGAGCAGCTCATAAATCTTTAACACTGCATGTCTGCGCTTGCCAATACAATGTCACCAAAAGCTGTTGCTACGTTGAAGGGAATTTGATTACAAACTGTCCAATGTCTGCTTAAAGCCTAATTTGCTCACATTGAGCAGCACATACGTGTATGCATGTATACGCTCCTGCCTGCATATATCTATCTATATAACCACCCGTGACTCTGCATCACCACGTGTGAAATGCCTCTGAGAAGTCTCTTCTCGAGACAGACTGTATCGCAAACAAAACCTGCTACGTTGACATCTACATTACAAGACTGCCGTCAAGAACGAATGTTTCTTTCTTATGCAGATGCCAGCAGGGGAGACCTATCCAGAAAGAATAGTTCGGTCAGTTTTTGTGGCCCTTGTGACACGTATCCTACTAAGGTAAGAACAAAGAGAAATAACGTGAGAGATATAGCGTGTGTGCACGCGCGCGTGTGTGCGTGCGTGCGTGCGTGCGCGTGTACGTGTGCGTGAGAGAGAGAAGGCGAGAATGTGAGAGCGAGAATTAAGATGGTTCCCGTCTCTAAGGAGACCCTTTCTAAAAATCTGTAAACCAGACGTTTGGAAAATGTTCTAAACTCTGTAGAAATTTGAGTTACACTCAGTACACTTTTAACATCTATATTCACGAAATCATATACAGTTCTCATTATCGCATCATAATATTATGTCATCGCATCATATTCATTTTGTGAGGAATTTCTGCTAACTATTTAATGAAGGTTCCATGGAGACACGATATGTTTGTGGGTTATACACTAGTCTATAAATCTTTCTATGAATAAGGAGTAATGCAGCAGGAAACCTTCAACTTTCAGCGTTCACACCTGCTGTTACAGGTATAGTTCACACCAGAGTAGGGAAGCAAAAATACCGCCTCGTCATTATATATATATCTGCTTAGTTAAAGGAGAGCACTGACATAGATTTCAGGCATTTTTTCAGTCATGTCGGGTTTTTGATTAGGCTATGTTACTAATTTCGGTCAACTTTAATTAGAAACTAATAAAAACTAGATTGAAAATGCCCATGTGTATTCACTAATATTAATGGCTGGCGCCATTGCTTAATTATGCCGCTTAACTTATATTATTATTATTATATTTATATATTATTATTAGTCACGACACAATTTACACTATTCGCGTTTTGTTTCACGTGTTATAGACTGGTACTATTGGACCAGCCTACATTAGTTAGTAACTTAGGCGATGGAATGACGTATATTTAACTGTAAATCCATTAATTTGTAGCATAATTAATGTCTAATTTAAGTTAAGCTTTCCATAAATAGCTAGCTATCTATGAATGCCTACATATTGCAATCAATTTCGATGACTGAAAATTATAATTATCCGGTATTAAATGTGCTAAAATAAACTTGAATAGAATAACGCCTATTATAAGCCATATCGGAAAGTCCCCGCCGCCATATTGAGATCAGATAAGAAGTGGTATATAATTTATAAACAGCCCTTTTATAACATGGGTAGGATAGGACTATTCTAAGTTTTTGATCTATAATTTTCTTCACTAACATCGTACTTCAATTCACAGGTGCGTTTCTGTTTACATAAACATTTACAAATATGATTGTGGTCGTTTGTGATATTTTGCAATGTTTGTGTTAATGCAAAAACTAAAAACGCACGAGTGTTTAGATTAATCATGTACTTAAGCGCGCTTCGGCCATTTTATACCCTCTTATACCCCCGTCAGACTGGACGACGACCATCCGCGACCATACGGCGACCAGAAAATGTACAAGGTCGCCGGCAAACCTGATCACAACGCTAGATAAAGTACGTCCCAACAAATTACAAACTTGAAAAAAACTGCGCTCTTATCGCGACCTGTGCGATCATACCGCGTTTCTTACGGCGCGCCCGCCACGACCTCTCCGCGCTTATGGCGTTTCTATTGAGATCTATGGGCTTGGCAACGGCAATCACCGGCGTTCCCGCGGCGCTCTCACCACGCTCATGGGGTACTTACCACGCGTCTTCTACGTGTATCGCGACTGCACGGCGACCTCACGGCGTTTCTACCACGTTCTCACGGCGACTATATAAGCTGGTCAGATTTTCGGAAATTTTAACTGTATAGTTGTGCGTTTGCTGAGTAGAAACCCGATGCCGAAGAAACAAGCTACCAGAGGAGACAGGTCAAAGAACAGGAACACAGCATTCAGCGTGTCAATCATGTTCCGGATATTAACCCCCGTCACACCGGGGTGGCGTCCTTACTGCGCTGCTACGGCGACTGAAAATGGGCCCAGAGCGCGCCAAGGTCGCCATAAGCGTGGTATAATCGTGGTGGAAACGCCAGACATCGTGGTGTGGTCGCCATGGTCGCCAATGATCGCCGAGTCACGGCGTTTGTTTTGAGCATGTTCAAAACAAACGCCAAGGTTCGGCGATCTGACCTGGAACGCGGTGAGAACGCGTTGGGGTCGCGAAGATAGTGAGACAAGCGTCGTAACATCTCCATAAACGTAGTACACGCACAGTACACGCGTGGCAAAGACGCTGCGAAAATGGTAACATTTTCAACGGCGAATTCATGGATCTGTCTCATCCAATCTGCCGATCTGTTTCATGCCGATCTGTCTCGGCCACGGCCACGGCCTCGACAGTCCTTGCGCTTTTGTCCTGGTCTTCTGGTCCCAACTGCCTGCCCAATTGTTCTCATAGATTTCTGGATGACTGGCTGGGTCCAGTATAGCTGCAAAGCACTCACAGATGAGCTCATACATGTCGTAAAATACGTCATAGCATGTGTGCCTCTCTACCCATCTGGTCTTGCACAATGCAAAATCTTGACATCTGGCGCCAACTGCCCTATGATTCTTTCCAGAAAACGTTGTCGTTTTAGTGAGGTAGTACTCTTTCGGAGATTCACTGAGACCATTGGCCCTATAAATCTGTCGGGTTGACTTTTGTGCCCTTGGCACTGAAATGGATGTATCTAGAGATGTGGCTAAGCGTGTAGCATCTTCATACCACAGCCCATACTCAATATCTATTTCCTGTCTCATAACAGTGTTCCGCTCACATGTCTTGTCTACCATACCATATGCCTGATAGATGTCCAGATCCCGTTTCTGCAGCTTGGAGGCTATTGGGCGGACATTCTCACGAACATTTTTGGTGACAATAAAGGCGATGATGGTTTGGAATGACTCAAGGCTCTTCAAAAGACTGGACTGCCTCCCTGCCTCTCCAGTAGCGTTGACACTCCTTCACCTCGGATCGCAGTGAGGAAACATTTGGCATATCCTCCTCCCAGTACATTAAACCTTCCACGATAGGTTGACTATTTTCGGTCTTTGTGATGGCAGCGGGAAGTAGAGCAAGAATATTAACACCTTTTCTGCTTTCGGGGTTGAACCAAGTTTGGAACTCCGTGGACAGGTGGTCACACAAGGGGATTGCGAAGTTTCTTCATGTTCATCACTGTGAGACCACACAGTCGATCATCCCAACCCATCGCACCCTCAACAGGGTGCGGATGTTTGGGAAAATGTCGATGTCAGCATGCTCCAGACACTCAGACAAGTTTGGTGAGGGTGCCCACAACATGTATATTGACTATGAACAAATCTGCCAAATGTTTATAGAACGGAACAAACGGAAGATGTTTTCCAGTTGCATACTCTACCAGTAAGCTGCCATCAGTGTCACTGCCTGAAATTTCGTCACCCATAACTGAATTTTAACTACGTACTCCACTATCAATGTCACCCTGGTTGAAATCAGCAGTGTTAAACCGTTAGCAGTGTTAAACCGCGTCATATGGATAACAATCATTTTGTTTAGCTTCTAATGTTACAAATGCCGAAATGTTTATTGACTGAAATTTGTTGTAGTACTTAGTATCCTCAGTGTCCCACTGTCAACAAATTCGTCATGACCGAGTTATGAGCATATAGATGAGAATTTTCATCAAATTGGCAGGTTTCAGACTATATTTTGCTCCTAAGGTAATTTTTGAAATTAGTGTAAACTCATTGAGAATTTTTATTATTTTATATATTAAACTCAACATGAGCTAAATTAATGCTCAGATTGTTATAGAATATGTACCAGAGAGCATCCATTTTTTCAAAATGTTCCAAACATGTTTATACAAAAAATTATACAAACACGCACGCGCGCCCGTGTGCTCACGACCACGTCCGCTACCCGACTCCCCCCACTCCCTTACTATATTTGAATTCTAGCCGTTACCCTGCACATAAAGCTACCGAATCGGGCGATTCACACATAACACTAGTGCCTCCCTGCCTGCTTATTCAATCACTAAAACTGCAAATGCAGACATGAGGCTGCTTATTCCTATTGTTCCCGGCAAAGGGTTTGTTGTTTGAGTTTTACTCATAATAAATACCAATTGTTATATGTTTATTTTTTATTACTTTGTTTTTTGTTATTGTGCATTTAATGTCAATGAAATTTTAACAGGACCAAAAAATTTGACCCCCCCTTTTTCAAAAAGCTGGATCCGCCCTGGGTTGCAACTGCGTTGAACGAGCTAGCCGACTTTAATTTAAATGGTGCCGCTGCCGCTGACGTTTGGGATACATTAATTGAAAATTATTTTCTGTCTCCCGACGTCGAAGATGTCGACGACGAGTCTGACATTTCTAAGGATGACAACCACGTATCATCATCATCAGATGATGATGATGATGATGATGATG